GCAAGGCCAGTAGTGGGCGCTTTAGTTGTTTGATGCGTCCGTCCATCAATCAAGCGCCTGTGCCTGCGACTTTTGGGGCCAAAAGGGGTTGCTTCCCGGCCCTGCCTTTCAAGCCCTCCCTCTCTTTCCCTCCCTCTCTAGACTAGAGGAATAGATTCCTGGAGGGAGGGAGCCCCGTTTCGAGGGCCTGGGTGGATAGATAGAGCGGAAAAGGTCCATCCATCCATCGATCAGTAGGTGCGTACGCCTCGCTTCCGTCGCGCCGGCGCATGGTTCCGTCCATTGTTTATGCGCCGGCGCGGCTACCGGCCTCGGCGCCCGCCCATGTTCGCCCGCCAGATAGAGTATACCCACATATACAACCAACCACGTTGTTCACGGGCGCAGGCAGGTCTGATCCGGTCGTGTCGCGTAAACCGGGGGCGGGGGCGCGCCGTCCAGCCGCGGTGCTCGTCCCGGTCAGAAGCAAGCATCCCTTTGGGCTACAGCGACGGCACTCGCCGGCCGTCGCCAACAAAAGCATCAGCCCACCCAGCAGGAGAGGAGGAAGATGACGATATTTTTCGGGCGCTCCAGCGAGGGTCTAGAAGCTCTGCGGATCGAGAGACGCAGCAGGAATAACAACACTGCCACCAAACCTAGCCAGCTCTTGTGCGTGTGTGTGGTGGAGCTGAGACGTCGCTGCCAACGCTTTAGGGGCGATCAGTTCCCCGCCCCTTTAAATTTGTCTGCGGGGCCCGCGGAGGTTCCCAAAGCACAGTCGTGACTTGTGCGCTGGGGAGTGCCGGCGTAGTGGCCTGCTGTTTTCGCCGCCACAGTGCTTGCCACGTTTCGACACCACAGCAAACCCTAACACAACGCACGCAGCCAAGCCAACCTCCCCCGCCTTCTCCTCCTTCCCTTTTCTCCTCCGCTTTGGTAAAAACAAATGTGCTACTCCTACCACTGCTAATAATAACCAATCATGTCTGCCGGCAGAACATGGTACAGTTGTGGTTAACTCGGCTACGGATTAGCTGGAGCTTTTGGGTGGGCATAGTAGCATGCATGCATGCATCGCCCGATTTGGCTGCTCGTTTCGCGGTATCTTCAAGCTGTCCGCGTACGTACGAACGTACGTAGGAAGGAGACGTCTGATTGAATAAAATCTTGTGCATATCTGCATAACAAACCTCATGTCGGCGATCGTACATATCTTGGGTTCACATGCTGCCCGAGTCTACGGTTTCTTGCGGTATCATGCGGACGTGCCAGTTGGTATGGTTGACAGGCTTTCGTGCCACATTACTTGCTTGTTTGAAAGGGCAACAACGATTGATTTCAAAAATATTAATTTAGTTTACACGGGGTGTAAAAGGTCTCCTTCACACAACTCCGAATTCTCTGAAAACAAGTTAAATAGTAATAAACTACCACCATCTTAGCCATGGTTGGACCCATTCTGCTTATTGATACTTTCTGTTACATGCCTCGTGCATGTTAGATAAACTAGAGCCGTCTTAACCATGGTTGGACTCATTCTTCTTCCGGATACTTCGTGGTTAGATGTCACATGCATGCTGTTGTGGGGCCCGACAAGTATGCCATTTTTTAGATAATTACCGCATTTCTCTAAGGAGAAATTGGAGTAAATTCCATCTGTACCCGAGTTAACACCTTGTGACAAGTTTTACCAAATTCATAAAGTTTGTGCCACAATTTACTAGATTTAAGAGCTACATTTATCCGCCGTTTGCTACATTCGGGAATGGAGAGACTTTTTGACAAATATATCACCATCTCATTAGGTTTTGTTTCTTAAAAAGGAGACCCCAGGCTTCCGCACCCGTTGATGCACACAACTATATTTATTGATTAACGCAACAATGTCAAGCAAAGCTCAACATTGATGTTGGACGAATCAGTTTGAAAAAATAAGAATAAAACCCTACGCCATTTAGATAATGACTTGCCTCGCGATAGCATCTCCTAAAAACCTACTACAAATGCTATGACATATGGTCGAACAATGAACAAAAATGTGACTTCTAGACAAAGCATTTGTGAAGGGATCCCCGCATGCACGCCGATGTTCACGGGTCAACCCCAAGGTTGCACTTGCGATTTTTCATTCTTGAAGCCGAGCATCAAGCCAACATCTTCAACAAGGGGACGACGCATGCATGTTAACATTTGCATGATCAACCCGAAAGAGGCGAGGTCACATGCTTATCACTCAGAGTATGTGCATACTTGTTGTTGAGGACGTCACTACCATCAACCATTCTGCTGGTTGAAGACGGCTCACTAGCTGGACACTGGTGCTATCAGATCATGTATGCCACCCACGCTGAGAAAAAACCGGAAGCGGGTAGAGGGTCTCGACGCCCCGCTTGCGGACACTGCCACATCGCTTCGTTCGTCGTCGATGAGGGAGAGAGGGACATTGGACGTAGGGTTACGACCAAATACACCCACCAATGCCGCCACCTTCTAGTTCCGTCGACCACATCCACGAGGCAACTGCCCTTGCGTGCATCAACACAACCCCAATCGATCGGATCAGGCCCTGGGAAGGGGACGGCGATGAGGGAGGGCGGAGGATGAAGACGCACATAGGGGCCTCACCTGCTGCAGTCCTTCATTCTGCTGCCATTGCGAGAGTATAAGGGTCGGGGCCTTGATTTGTAGTGCCCTCCCCGCAAGGGAGAAACAAGGTACTCGTTGCCACCTCCATCGATGTCCTATGGTATGCCGAAGGTTTTCTCTGGATAGGCGAGGGAACAGAGAGGGGAGAGAGGGGTGGCGGTTGGCGGTTGGCAAGGCTAAACACATGAGATTCGGACTATTTGCTCTGTCAATACATTTTGAATGCAAATCCCTTACTTTTCTGTACCATGGGTCTTCTTTGAATTTCAAACAATTGTCTTGTGGAGGGAGGGGGAGGGGGGGTGTTGGCACATGTGATGCCTCGAGTAGAACAATCTGCAACAAATATGTTGCCTAATTGTGTCTCTCATTTGCCACGTTGTCTCGACGAGCGGGCCATATTTGTCAGAAACACAATCCTTCTCTCGCCTTCTTCCTCTCCTACGAGCCTTGAATCTATTAAGGTCGGAAATTATAGCTCCTATTTTTTTAAACCATGACACAAAAAGTTAGATATATTAAACTTGTCACGGTGTTACAACTTTCTAGTAAGTTAAAGAAGTTATAGTAAACTATTCCTCAAAAAAGATTTATTGTGGACTAAATGCCTTCGTCATTGTATCTTTATTGTCCAGAGACCTCAGTGTACTTTTTTACTATGTTTATGGTATTTTGTACTTCTAGTGAACTGTTACAACAGATCAGAGTCATTTTCGAAAGAAAATAACTAATTGCCTTTATTCCCCAAGCTTTTGAGATTTTTTTAATTCAAGATAATTTCATAAGTGTGTTTCAGAGGTTTTGTATAATCAGAATTTTTGGTTGTGTAAGTTGTTGGATTTGCTTGAGTCGGATCCTTAGGATTTCTTTGCGCTCTACTTTGGAAGAAAGCTGTAATTCCTTTTTCTTGCCATGGGTGTCAAACACTTCTGGTCGCTAATTATTACTCTACTTTGGAGTATAGTTTTATAATAATCTCTCTATACAAATGTAATACGGAGTACAAATGATTCTTTTAAGAATATCCTATAAGATTCAATCTTGTGAATCAAACGACTACCATAAAGAAATCTTGATCTTCAAAAAACCGTTTAAACCAAAGATGCACTTAGGGCGTCTCCAACACCGACCCCCAAACCTCCCACAAGCATTCAGTATGAGCTGCTCGAACTCTGCCAGCCATCCAACGGTGTCCGGCATCCTATGTTGTCTGCTCCCGTTTCTATAAACTTAGTCCTTTGACCAAATCTTATATGTAGACTAAAAATAAACAAAGGGAGTACTTATTTCATTCAAGAGAATTAGATGTGATTTTCCTTTTGAGGTTTGAATCATTAGGGATTGTCACAGTAGAAGTTGTTTAACTTGCTTGAGTCAGATCGTTAGGATTTATCTTCGGGATTGTCAAAATGTTAGATAAGTCAAATGTATGACTGAATTTGAGTTTGTTTGATTGCATCGCATGAAAAAAAATCAAGACTTTGGAGTCGATGTATGAAATGTAACACAAATGATTTCTTAGAAAAAAAATCTTATAGGATTTAATTATACGAATCAAGTGATCAACATAGAAAATAATCTTTTTTTTAATTGTTTGGATTGCTTGCCCATGTGTCACGTGATGAAAAAAATCCTTTTAATCAACAGTCTTGCTAAGTATCAGTCGAGCGAGACTTTGTTAAATCTCAGACTCTCAGTCGATGCTATATCCATGAGATCTTATATATTAAGATCCGTGTAAAAAAAATCAGTTTTTTTTCTTTTGTATGTTTCATTTGACTGAAACTTGATTAAATCTTAATCGATTAAGACCTAGCCACCCCTTTAATCAAAGAGGCCTGTAGAGGATTACTGCGGTTTTATTTCGTTGTGCTCTATGGATTCCACGTATGGAAGACTCTGTGACAATTGCCATGGACAACGTGCGCCGTAAATGTAAAAATGGTGTAAGGAGATGAATTGATCTGGACGCACCGAATAGCCGGGCCAAGCTGTCGACACCAAGTGCCAACACATGAATGATACAAAAACCTCTGCCACATGATATCTCGGCGCTGTCCAACCAGAGCGCCCGGCCAGGCTAGCTCCCCGCTTTTATTTATACGCCATCCCATGGGCTCTTGCATCAGTTGATTGCTGCTGCAGCGAGTGACCTCACCCCTGCCCACCTCCCCTCTCCTCCGTCCGTCCGTCCTTCCTCGCCCCCATCCAGATCGTCTCTGCGATCACGACACCCGGAGCAGCGCAGAGGCCATTGGCCGCCGCGAAACAGAAGCAGTGCGCTCTGCAGCTCCTCTATCCCCCACACAGATCATAACTAGAACAGTCCCCATTTCCAGTTTGGAACCGCCTCTCTCCTCCTCGAGCTGCGGATGAAGCGGCAGATCAAGAGGCCGACCCGCAGCCAAGAATCGCCAGAGCCAGGTATGACAGCTGAGATCTCCCTCTGTTTTTGGTGTACTTGCTGCTAGCTTGATGTTTGTGTGTGCCATCATCGCTTTTGAGCTTAAATTTTAGTAGCGCAAAGTGTGTGCCCTTTTCACATATATGGAGCTTGCTTGCATCTACCACATATTCCATTTGCGTCGAGCGATCGGAATTGGCATGGGCATTCCTGCTCACCTTGCATTTGGAAGCATTTTGTGATCTAGGCAATTGTGGAACACAAGTAGTGATTCCTAAGGATCATGTGTGTGTGAGGACTAGGGAGAGATAAACACGAAAGCTAACCATGCTGGCATGCTGCAGGGGAGAAGCTGGCGTTCGCTGAGAAGGAGAACCTGCTGGCGGCGTACATGGAGCACGACGAGCCCGAGCTGGAGGAGGCCGACGAGGAGGAGGAGGAGGAGGAGCGCGCCATGTCGTGCGGGCTGGGCGGCAAGAAGCGGCGGCTGGCGCTGGAGCAGGTGCGCGCGCTGGAGCGCAGCTTCGAGACGGACAACAAGCTGGACCCGGAGCGCAAGGCCCGCATCGCCCGCGACCTCGGCCTGCACCCGCGCCAGGTCGCCGTCTGGTTCCAGAACCGCCGCGCCCGCTGGAAGACAAAGCAGCTCGAGCGCGACTTCAACGCGCTCCGCGCCCGCCACGACGCGCTCCGCGCCGACTGCGACGCGCTCCGCCGCGACAAGGACGCCCTCGCCGCCGAGGTACGTGCTGCCCCATTGCTGCCGCTGGTGCTGCCTGTTTGCCACGCGCGGCCACGTCGCTTGGTGGTTACTTATCTGTGTTCTGTGTCACGCGTTCAGATACATGAGCTGAGGGAGAAGCTGTCCACCAAGCCGGAGACGTCGGTGAAGGCGGAGGCCGCCGGCAATGCCGACGCCACGGAGGAGCGCCTGCAGCAGGCGACGATGATCGGCGCGGCGGTCTGCAAGGACGGATCCTCGGACAGCGACTCGAGCGCGGTGTTCAACGACGAGGCGTCGCCGTACTCCGGCGCGGTCTTCGAGCAGCAGGGCTTCATGGGGTTCGGCGCGTCGTTCCTGGACTCGGCGTCGGCGGCCGCGGCCACCACGGGCGGCGGCTGCTCGTCCCTGCCCATGCTGGAGCCCAAATGGCCCGGCGCGTACCCGTACGACGCGGGCAGGTCCGGCGGCTACGGGTTCACGGAGGAATGGCTGGCCGGCTCGGACGCGATCGGCAACGACGGCAGCGCGGCCTTCTTCTCCGAGGAGCACGTCTCCAACCTCAACTTCGGCTGGTGCAGCAGTGGCGCCGAGGGTTTTGATCTCCAGAGTTACTGTAAAAAGTGAGAAGGTGTCACTGTCCATGCAGCGACAGCGCGTACTTACTTTCTACTGGCTAGCGAGCTACCTTAGCCTAGCTAGCGGACGAGAGGGGTAGCAATGGTGGAATTTGATGAGAAGGGTGAATTGCCTGATGGATGGACCTCCCGCCCATGCATGGAGGGAGGAAGTAAATGTTACTAGTACTACAGTACAAAAATAACGGTCTCTAGCTAGGTTTAATCGATGGTGTAAAAAGTTGCAATCCAAGCAGCCGTCCCTACATTCTCCTGGTACCTTGAGTCCTGCCACTGCTAGCTGATCGTAACATTTTGGCGTGTGTCACTTCGTTGCGACAAAGTGGTCAGAGTGCACGCCAATGGAGGGACGTACAGGTTTCAGACTGAAACACACTGCTCTGGGATAGGGATTCATGGAGCCGATGAAATACGCAGAAAATACTTTTTCTTGAACCAATTTGTTCTAACTTGCTTCAGGCATGGGTATTGGTGATCCGTCGCCCCGTCCTTGGTACAACTGCCGTCTACGGTAGAATTTCTTCTTCTCACAAGCGTCTTTTAACAGCGCCATCTGAATTCATCGATTGATTGATTCAATAAATTATACTAGTAGATTGAAAAAAATTATACAAACACGAACAGTATATACATTTGGTAAAACTGAAAGTTGCATCAATGGTTTCGAAAAGGCCGCATGATAGGAACGAAAGATCCCCAAATGAGCGGCTCAAGATTTTTGGATGGCTACTCTTCAAGGGCAGCCTTAATTCCAAAAGCAACCTCTTCCACAAGAACAACGGTGACGACGCTGCTTGCCCTCGTTGTGATGCTCCATGTGAAGATGCCGTGCATATTTTTCTTTAATGCCATTAGAGCAACTCCAATGAGGCGACCCATTTCGTCCGTTGCCGTTCGTTTGGATCGGCGCGGACAAAAAAGCCAGCCAAACGCGTCGACCCAAACGGACGCACGTCCGCTTTCGTCCGTCTGTCGACCCATTTGTGGCCCACTTTTGAGCCTGATTTGCGTCGACGCGGACACAAGACGGACACGCGCGCGCTCGCCCTCTTTCCTCACCGGTCCCGCTTGTCGGTGGCACTGTGGATTCACACCCTCGCCCTCCTGCTACGTCGCCGACGCCGCCGACCATTTTTTCAGTACATAGATAGTTCTAGCGTACACATATAAAAGAAAAAGACCACTACTCATAGTTTTCTGACTCCGACTCGGTAATGTCCTCCTCCGACGTCTGAAGGTAGGCGTCAGCAAGCTGCTCGTCTTCAAAATCCCAACCCGACGTTTCTCGTAGCTTCAGTTTCAATTGAGCTGCCTGCTTCCGCGAACGCTTGTCCTCCCGATAGGCGGCTTGCTCCCTCCTCCTCGCGTCCCTCTCCGATCTCAATTGCTTGTAGAACTGGCGCTCGTCGATGATGTCCTGCGGGAAGCCTCCGCGCCACACCACCAAGGCTTCCACGTCCTTCTCTGCGATGGTGAGGCGACGCTGCCGCCTCCGGTGGACACGACGATCCTCGTCGGTGAAAAGCCGCGGGAGAGGCGCCAGATCCTGCGCCCACTGGCTCGACACGTTGGGAAAATTCATATCCCGACGAGGCCTCAGGAGGCGCCACGCCGCCGCGTCGTGCGCGCGGGCCGCCTCCTCTGCGGTGTCGAAGGTGCCGAGGACGAGACGTTTCTTGCGAAACCAGATCTCGGAGGAGAAGGTGTCAGAGCGGCACTCGCGAATCCGAAGCGCCCAGGCGGCGGATCGACATGGTGGCGCAGAGGCGGTGAGAGTGGGCGACGGACAAAGTGTGGAGGGAGCGCCTTCTTTATAACGAGCGCCGGCCGCGGTGCGCGCGCAAACTTTTCCCGCGCGCTGGAGCGC